AAAGTATTTTCACATAAAACATATTATCGTGATGGGAAACTAGATATCTGTGGCTGTATCAGATAATGACTAGTCACCACATAACGTCAGTTAAGTTTGAAAACATGATGTACAAAATACAAAACCGAAAAAATTTATTCGGCTTTTCCAACAAACAAGTCTTCGCGGTAATGTCGTTTTTTGTATTCGCGGTAATGTCGTTCGCGGTAATGTCGCTGTATCGTTCTTTCTCAATAATCTCAGTCACTGAGATTATTGAGAAAGAACAACTGTGTTTTACGACGAAGTTTGAGTGTAACTATTCATCTGCAGTGTTTCGGTTCTATGTAAGCCATCACGTTACCGTATTATGAATTTATTCAATAGTACGGAGAGGGTAAAGTGAAAGGTGGACGAAACTATTATACGTTGCATAGAATAAAGAATAAGAGTATAAATGAGGGATAAGGGATAAGTCTTTTTGCATGATCACGCAAAAAAGAATGCAAAAACATATCAGTCGAATTAATACAAAATTTTGTGACTGTTTTGTTCTACGAGAACATAAACATACGGAATTTTTGCAGAATTTCGGATTTGTAACCATTTTCCACGTTACTCCACTTGTATTTTTGCATTATCTTTTGCGTTCGTTATTCACCTGATTTGCACAAAAAAAATTTTTGGTTTTGGTGACATTGGTCATGCTTTTGTCATTCTGTTCTTCACATTTTTATATCAACAAAATGCGATTAAATTATTGTATTAGTATATGTCATGTAATTGCACAATGACTGCCTAACAAACAATCCTCATAAAACATTCACAAGATTTTAATAGTACTTCAAGAATTGAAAAGTGTTGACTATTTTTGAACATAGAGGAAATAACTCATATAGTTCTAATTTTAAATTGATATGAAGCAGATAGATATCAGTTCAAATACGCCTGGTCGAGAGGCAATATTTCTACTTAGTTATAATATTTTAGCCGATCTTTTTGCAGATGCACAACAATATTTTAATAAAACTGGAAAGGATTATGTTAGTTGGCCATCACGTTCCATGAAAATTTTAAATGAAATTTTATCATTTAATGCTGATATTATATGTTTACAAGAAATGCAAGAAAATCATTATCATGAATGGTTAGCAATTGAAATGCTCAAATATGGTTATACTGGTATTTATGTCAAAAAAAAACGTGATTGGGGTGCTGGTAATGATGGTTGTGCAACATTTTATCGACATCAAAAAGTTGAACTAGTACAATCATCAACAATTGATTATACTGACTACGCACGAACATTAGAAAAGTATTTTCGTTCAAAAACAGCTTTAGAAACATTAGCCATACCAACACATTCTCTTGGATTATACACATTATTTCGTACACATTTAAATGGAAAACACTTTTGGGTTGCTAATACACATATAACATGGCATTATACTCATCCATATTTACAATTGTTTCAAGTTAAAACTCTTATATCAGAATTAGAACGATTAAATACCCAACAATTACCGTATTTAATTTGTGGTGATTTTAATAGTGGTCCTCAATCACCTGTATTTGAATATTTATCAACTGGAAAAATTTCTCAATGTTCTTCACATTATGAATCATTAAAACAAGTTTATACAGACTTATTTATTGATAACTATGGACAAATGTATCTTGATGAACAACACGGACTTATACAATCAATTGAAAATGCGTATTGTCCAAAAACAGTTTACATGGATTTTACGAATCACGATGGTGAATGGTATGGCATTCTCGACTATATTTGGTTTGATAAGAATAAATTAAAATTGACAAAACTTCTACAATCTATGTTACCCAGTGAATGTATAAACGTTTTACCAAATGAACAACATCCTAGTGATCATTTACCACTTTTGGCAGAATTCGAATTGATCTAGATAATATACACTACAAGTCAGTACTACAAGTGTATTTTTCTCGCAGCCATAACCATAGAACAATTTCTTTTTAATGCGTTATTTTCACCTTTACTCGCTGATAAAAACAAACATAGAGAACTGATTCTTTTATTAATAAGATTTTTTGAATATAAAAGAGAAAAAACGCCATTTTCACCTTATCTTCGTTAAGAATACGCCCTAAGGGAACGTTTCAAAATGTATTCCGGTCGGTCGCTATTCCGCTATTCTTCAATTCCGCTATTCCGCTATTCCCCGACTATTCCTCTCTTATTCCTCTGTCATTCCTCTATTCCGCTCTTCCTCTATTCCCCAATTATTTCTCTATTAGAGTACTGTGGGGAAAAAAGAGACACCTTTTCAATTTTTTGTCGTACTTTTATTAGTTCTCAGTCATTTTTGGTCGGGAAAACTCACTATTGAACATGATGGTAGACCGAACATTTTTCTACACGTTGATGTAAAAATCTCCTAGAAATCTCTGTCCGATTTTCAACCACATCCAAAATGCGAAGAGTCCCATGAAAGTGTCTCTTTTTCCACCATTCGGGGTAAAAAGAGACACTCCATTCAAATACATGGAGTTTTAATTAATAATTGACTGCGAGGTAAGCTTTAGAGATAATTAGTTAAAAAACACCTTATTTTGTAGCCCAAACCTTCCTCTCTCTACCATATGATTTTGAGCTCATTATCGTTTAAACTCATAAAACTAATTAAGACACAATCAACCACACTCGAGATTGTCTTTTTTTTCTTTTATGCATTGGGAGAAAAAGAGACAGTCCATTGAAATACACCGAGTTCTCAGAGACAAACCCCTACTGTCTCGCAGAAGCCGATTTTGATTATAAAATAAATGCTGTATCTAAATTTGTCAAAAATATATATTACTCTTTCTCGAATGGTGAAGGCATAGACACGGAATAATCGTGCGATTTTCAAGTTCGACAAGTGTTCATATTCGTTCAGCTGGATTGAACTTCTTTGTTATCGTAAAGCTTCACGAGTATCGGGGTTATAGTTCGATAGTGTGTGGCAGTTTGCCATGAAGTCAAAAATGGCTTCCGATAGTGTAGTTTTGTGTAGGAATGGGATAGTTCACGTCTACTCTCACTCTCGCAAGAAAAATAAATGTATTATATTCTCGTTCGTCAATTCGCTATTCACATTAGTTTTAACGTTGAATAGTGTAAAACGTCTCGCTATCTTAGGAGTGAAGTTACGAATGAACTTTTTAATGTTAATGAGATATGAATTTAAAACCGGCTTGTGCTACTATTCTATCAATTTTTAGTTTGATTTTTGTGCCGGCCATTCTTCTATATGGATACTATCAGTAAAAGTAAGTAGGGTGTTCGATCGATCGATATAAAAGTTGATGTGCACTGTAGAAATTTTTTTGTGTAACACTGTCAGATCAACATTAGAACTTTTGTCACACTACTTTGTTATGCAAGGTTGCTACTGAAATTTTTACCGTAGTCGACCGATCTTACGGCAATTCTATAGAAATCTTATAAGAATCTTATAATAATCTTATATAAGGCAGTCGATGGAAATGCGTAATTTATTGATAAGATTCTTATAAGAAGGAATATAAGAATCTTATAGGAAGGGTATAGTACAATTTCATCACATTCTTTAGTGATCAGTACTCTATATTCTACTTTCTTACTATAATCTACTGTTTCATACGTGAATAAAATAATTTTCTTTCCACTTA